ACCGCTTTCTCGTGCTGGCACCCTTACGTCCCTGCCTCTCATAGCTCGCCGTCGCAGGTTGCCCTCCACCTGTTGGCTGTGCCGGCATCCGTCGCCCAGGGGCAAGGCTCCAGTGATGGCGGCAGCAGCAGCATGTCAGGCCAGTGCCTGCTTCAGCTGCTTAACATGGACAGCGGCATCCACGACGTCCATATGCTCATGTCCCTCTGGCCAGCGCTGCTTGTGGCACGCTGAGCCGCATTGAGTGGATGGCTTAAAACTTTCAGTCAGACCAGGGCTAACCGAAGGTGCTCCGAATTTCAGTGCGCCTTTCACCCACCCGAGGCAGGTCTCGCCGTGTTGAAGGGCGGCTGGCTTGCGGCCGTGGTTGGAAGCAACGTGTTCCTGCCAGCCTTCATCGCCGGATTCGGAAAGTGCCTTGGCGGCCCTTGCAAAGTTTTAAGGCTTGCAAAGCCGTGTTTTATTTTTATATGGTTCTGGGTCATAGACAATTTCCATAGGTGCTTATATACAGGGTTCTATAACGTCGCGTGGCCTAGGTACCTCGTGGCTTTCCGGCTGCGGCCTGAATCAGAAAACGAGGCTGTCGGCGCGCCTTGTTGGCCTTCGCGCTGGGGTAGCCGTTTTGAGGTTTATGGTATATACCGTTTAGGAGTTTAGGGTTTATCGTTTAGGGTTCCGGTTGAGGTAAGAGCTCGCACACTTCAGGCGCTGCATCTGGATTTCCTTCCCCCCGGGCCGCAGATGAGTTCCCACGTTCCGCTGCGGATCGCAGCAGTGCTGGGTGCCATCGTGGGCTTCTCCGCGCTGAGCGTGTGCAGCTGGATCTACACCGTGCCTTGGTCGCCGACGGTCGCCAGAGATACACCTTCGCTGTTCAGCCGCCTTTCGAAGCAGAGCAGCGTAGAGCCGTCGAACAGTCGAAGCTCAGTTGCCTTAACCCTGCAAACCCTGAACCAGGAAGCCCTAAAGACCGAAGCCGCAACAGGTCAGAACCCGATCGCCGGAGGAGACACGGCCGCACGTGGCCTATTTGATTCAGGCAGGTTGGCCGGAGTCCTAAACCTAAACTTTTAAACCTAAAAATCCCAAAAGCCTACAACCCTAAAACCCTGCATCAGAAGCCTAAACCCTAAACCTCAGAGCTCTGCCAGGCATACCGACCTGAGTGTGCCATTTGGGAGGCCAGCCTTGCCTTGATAAAGGGTTGAAGGGTTACCACAAAGGTTTTATTAGGACTGTATGATAGTTTGGGGCTTCAGGGTGTTGGGTGCGGGTTTAAGGCTTTAGAGTTTTTGGAGCTCGAATGTGTTTGTTCCTCTCTTTGGCACTTCGTTTTTTGTCTCCGGGTAAAACAATCGGTGAAGTGCCCGCAAGTAAGCTGCCATGACCGCCAGGTGGAGCGGCTGATGCGTAAGGCCTGCATTGGGGGGCCGGGGGAGGGGTTTACAGACCCGCAGTGCTAGCCGGAAATGTGACCATCAGATCACTGGTTTCACATGGTCTGGAGGGCTCCTGGACGGCTCAAGCGCACATGCAGGCTTTTCTGTGGACCAAGGTCATGGTAGGACACGCATGGTGCGCGCGGTTTCGAGCCACAAGAAGCGAAAACGAACAAATTCAATAAATTCCATAGTTCCAATAAAATCCATAATCACCCACAAGCTTGAAAGGAGCTTTAGGAGCCTTTCTGTGCCTCTAAGCCATAAACTAAACCCAAAACCATAAAGCCAAAACCTAACCCTAAACCCGAAGAATGAGAGAAGAGTTCCTGCCAGGTGGTCCTTTCGCTGATCGCCACCGTCCTGCCTGTCACTTTGTCGCCCGTGGCCTCGTCGGCACAGCAGCCCAGGGCACCCTCAAAAAGACTGCAACACTTACGTACTTACCGAAACACCAAGCTATATACGTACACACCTTTACATACCTGCCTACCTACCTGCCTGCCTGCCTACCTACCTACCCACCTACCCACCTACCTACCTACCTATCTACCTACCTACCTACCGACCTACCTACCGACCTACGTACATACATGCATCAACAATCAATATATATATATATATACACACACATACATATATTTATGTATATGTATGTGTATATATATATATTCATTTATTTATTTGTGTATTTGGTTATTTGTTTATGCATGTATGCATGCAAGCATGAATGGCTGTCTGTATGTATGCATGTATGTATGTAAGTATGTATGGGCAAACATGCGGCCAAGACTCAGCTTACATGAACTCATGTGACAGCTTCCACAGAGAGAGAGAGAGAGATGTATGTATGTACGTACGTATGTATGTATGTATGTATGTATTTATGCACGTACGCATGTATGTATACACATATGCGTGTTTACATACATTCAAAGTGAGCAACTCTACACATAGATACATTCCCATGTCGAACAGGGATTCCATGGAGGGAGAGTTTTGTGCCGCCTTTCAGAAGCAGCGGGGAGCTCTGAAGGCACTTCAGATGGAAGCCGTGACTCTGGTTCTCATCGCGTCCCTGGTGGCGCATCTGTACTTCTGGCCATATCAGGCCCCCTGACCCAATTAAATGCATTTTCGTTCATGCAGCATTTCCAGCCTTCAACTGGGTCCTTTCTCGGGCTGCGCTCCAGTCGTGTCCTGTTTGTGCGAGTGAGGCAGATGACTGGAACCGTGCAGAGATCGGCCTTTTGTTCGTGAGCCTGACCATCACAGGAATGACCACTTGCCTCATCGTGACTAGCTCGCATTCAGCGGGAGTTCTTTTGAGCTGGGGGGTTATAGGAGTGCTGCGGCTTTCAGCGGTGAAGCGGAGGCCAACGACCTGCACTGGGCGAAGTCCAAATTGACGCAGCGCGTCCTGGTGTTCCTGATTTGCTCTATTGCTGGAGACACCCGGCTGGTGTGGTCTTGGGGTCCCAAACCGCCCTTCCTTCTTCCTAATTTCCTCTCCCTCCCTTCCCTCCCTCCTTCCCTTCCTTCCTCGCACTTTATGCGGGCAGCATGGCAGTTGAACCGAAGCTCAGGGAATTTGCATCGTCATGCTGGTCACCTTCTCCCTGGCATACCTGGCGGAGCGGCGCCAGAGGGCCGAGGCCAAGAAGGCGGAGGCAGCGTCGGCTGCCGGGCGCCTGAGCTGTTTTTGGGGTTCGGTTCTTGAGAGCAGCAACGCCATCTGAAGCAGCAGCAAACTTCGTTCTGATCAAAGCCTCGAAACGATGGGTTGCAGCCAACCCCCGCAGCCGGGGTTTGCGACGAGACCGAAATGGGGGAATGCTGAGGTGCAGTCTTTGTGTGCATGTGTGCATGTGCTTATAACTTTAAGCCCTGAAGCCTTAAACCCGATAAAAACGAAGCCCCTAAACCCTTACGGAGAGTCACCCGGCATCCCAGCTCAGAAGGGATCTCGAGGTCCAGACGATGAGGTCTTTGTCACCGAGAAGGGAGGCCGCCGCTGAGCCTCGCGCTGATGAAACAAGCACTGTAGATGATTAGATCTGGCACTTTCTGATGGCGAAGAGCAGAAAGTCCGTGGCAAAAGCACCTCCTTTCCTGGACAAGCTCCCTGCCAGGGAGGTTTTGCCTTCCGATGTACTTCTCTCCCCTTAGGGCCGGGCTGGCAGGAGAGCTCGCGCGAGCTTCCCCGTCAACACTGCCAACCTGCAGCAGACTTTGGACTACCTCACCCGGGCTGCCCCTCGCCCTGCAGAAAGAGACGGTTCAGGGCACAAAGGGTTTTTGGATGTTTTTGGCTTCATGCCCCTCTTTGCTGTAGGGTTTGGGGTGCAGTGCTTGTCTGCGGCGTTGCAGCGATGGTGATGACGGTCATAGCTGTGATGATGACGACGATGAAGAGGTTATAAGGACGAGTGGGAAATTCACGAGGCATTGCGACCCTGGCGCGGAGGAAGAAAGCAGCTTTGTGTGCTATTGTTGTGGTATGATGACGACACCAAAAGAAGGATTGAGTACTAACATGGCCTGGAAAAGACGATACTATTCGTTACTGTTCCTTGTTATAGCAGCTACGGCTGCTACGGTATAATACTTGCACGCCCAAGAGGCTCTTAGCACCAATATGGAGGCCTTGTAGTAACCCTTTTATGTCCCCGTTCTTCGAGCTCTTCCACAGAACACCCACAGACACACATGCCGACGCGCCGCTGAATCACTGAAGCGAACCCTGCAATCGGAAGCCTGGGATGCTGAGGAAGAAACACAGCGGTCTCGATCGGGACCATCCCCTCACATAGGTGCTTTCTTGAGTCGAATAGGGTCTCTTGCAAAGGTGTCTATAAGGGCTACCATTACTACGTTCAGGGCCCTAACAATTAGCAGGTTCTGGTGGTATATTCATTACAGCCTAGTTTAGCGAGGAACCTTAAACACACAATGGTATTGGTAATTACTCAGGCCTAACGTTATGTAAAAAACCCAATGGAGCCAACAGTTGATTAGTATTTTGGGGTTTAGGATAGTCGTGTTGTAGGTAACGGTAGCCCCGTTGATAAAGACTATGGTGTACTTGGACCCTCCGGGTCCAGTTTCCCAAGGGTTTTGGGTTCATAGTGGGGAAGGCAACCTTTAACCTATTTCGGGTGCAATAACCCCTGTATAATCCCAAAGGTCAACCTCTACAGTCCCCACATTAAAACAGGTCAAGTAACGTCATGGATTGTTGCAGTCTCCTCCCTGAACGCTTAAACCCGAAACCCTTACCCTAAGGGTCCAAGTACCTGATAATCATATACTCGTCCGGAACTAACCTGCAAAACTACTATCCGAAAACACAAGTACATGATTATTGGGTCCTTTGGACCCTTAGTCTTAAGCCCTATACCCTAAACCTCAAACCTCAAACTCCCAGCTGACTCCGAGGACCTCTCCGCAGCGGTCTTCGTTCAGACGCAGGAAGATAAGACGACGCCGGGGGCTTTGGTGCTGTTTGGCGCTGGATTTCGGGAATTGAGGGTTCGTAAGGGCTTAGGGGTTAAAGCGTATGGGTTTGATCGGGGTTAGGGTTTATAGATTATTTAGGCTTGGGCTTGTTGCCGGGTTTGGGCTTCAGGGCTCTCAAATTGTCGGGGCCCTGGTCTTGGGGAGTTGTTGGAGTTTCGAACGGCTTTTACTGGAATCTTTGGATGGGTTTCTTGCTGGTGATTCTCGAGCAGGCATTCGGTTGTTGACAAGTCAACTTGAAAACGGGAGGTGGTGATGCTTCGTAGTGGAACTCATTTCGGTATTCGTGCCTCTGCCTGCCTTTCTGGAGTATCCCATAGTCAGCGTTGTTTTCGTCCACCGGCCCGTTGGGCCAGGGTTTTCCCCCTGTGCGCAGCTCCTGCTGTGAGTTACGTACCGGTAAGTCCTGAGGTCTTAGGTGTCGACGAGGCTGAAGCCTTTGTTTGGTTGAGTGTTGCTCAACTTTGCGGAAACTCGGCATAGGGTTTTCAGTAGGGTGTGCAGCTCACCAAGTTCTAAGGGAAAGCAGGCACGCTGGGTTTAGGGCCCAGCTCATGAAGTTCCTTTACATGTTTGTAGGTCCCTTGACAGGGACCTGGGCTTATAGTCTCGGATACTGCGAGGTTGTTTCCTTGCCACCCCCCCGGAACAGTGTCCCCAAAGTGCCATGCACCTTTTGGGCATAGGCTGCAGCAAGCGCAAGAACGTAGGACTCCGAACCTGTCCGTGCAGACAATGCTCCCGAAATAAATAGATTTATCCTTGGGGGTGAGGGGGTTTGGCGTTTGCTTTAAACTCTTCGTACTATGTACTGCATACCCCAACCTTACAAATCCCTGTAGGGCCAACTCTGTAAGTTCCGATTCTAAACTTGATGGCCCTTTGTCAAACCTCGCGTGGAGCTCCTGACTGAAACCGATACACATAAAAAGACATCCTCGAAAATTCACACAAGCTAATTCTACTATTGACGGCCTCTGACCCCTAAACCGAAAGCCTTAAACCCTCAACCATTTGAGATGCTGGGCGAGGCGGCCTCAACCTCTTTGGCTGGCTACGGTCAAAATCCAGCGCCACTTCAGGCCGGGAGATACAAGTCAATTCTTGGGATACTGGGTTGTCAAAAGCTTGGGTTCGGGTGAACTACCAGACTGCCTGGATGTCGTGGAGGATCATGGTTTCAGCAGCATGGGTTCGAGGGCTTGAGATGTGAGTGTTGGAATCTCCATTGCAGTTGTTGGTTTTGGTTAACCTGTTTTGCGGTTAGCATCACACATGTGCGTGTGTATGTATATATATATGTATATATATATATCACCAACAGAGGAACAAAAGCGAGGCTTTTCTGAAGGGTTACGTACAACAAATATCGTCTCACATGTATCACCCCTTTCAAATATTCTTATTCGAATTATTGTGGCTCCTCTATCATGGTTCGGAGTTCGGGTTCCGTCCTTTTACGGCAGAGCCACTGGCGCAGTGATCACATGGATCTTGAGTCCTAGAGAACAGAGTCCCCCAAATTTAAAGCCCTCGCAAATACGCCCTAAACACCAGAACCCTCAAAAGCCTTAAACGTTCACTCCTTGCGCACAAATTCAGCAGCAACACAGTACCTCGTTCCTTGCGCACGAAGCGAGCAGCAACACATTGTCCATCTAGGAGCTGCATGGCAAAGCAAAGCATAGTTCGGGGTGAGCTAGGGTTGATAGGATTAGGGTTTAGGGTTGGAACTCTAAACGGTTGAGGGAAATATGAGTTAGGCTGCCAGACTTTGCAATTGCCTCTACATGATCAAATGGAGAGGAAGCAGATGGAGCATGAATTGCAGATCCCCAAGCGGGGGTGCATGCATGCATGTACGGACTTTTGACAAGATGAGTAACGGTGTGTATGTGCTGCATACCTGTACATATATATATATATATGTTGATGTATATATATATACACACATACAGATGCACACATGTGCTACATATGTTTATTTATTTATTTATACATACGTTTATGTGTATATGCGTAGATGTGTATATGTGTAGATAGATGGGTATGTGTGTATATATATATATAAGTATGTCTAAACGTACGCTCCCACCCACCCCCCCCCCCCACCCCCAGGATCTACCATTTCCCCTCCTCATGGACCTACGACGCAGCTGCCTTAGGCCTGAGGCACCATATGTATGTGTGTGTATATATAGATGTATATGACCTACCAGGCAGCCTGCCTTAGGCACCATGTGTATATGTACTAGTATATGCGTATGTATCTGTATATCTATGTGGTATGTACCTACATACGCATTTATTCCTGCATGTTCCCAGGTATGTGAACGTGTGGTTGTGAGCGAGGCAAAGCAAGGATTGCATGCGAGCATGAACATGTTTGTGCTGCCTGTGCATTTCGTACGCGTGACCCCAAACCTTAACTTCCAAACCCTAGACCCTAAACTGCAAGACTAAACCCAAAACCGCAAACCCCAGACCGCAAACCGTAAACCCTGGAAAACAAACCTAAACCCTGCCAGCACTGCCAACCCTGCAGGTATCTGCAGGTCTCTTCGCAGAGGCGATGAAGTGGAAGGCTGCGACTCCCAATCTCGTCTTGTTGGTGCAGGCCCATATGAATGGTTCAGGGTTGTGGGTTTATAACGGTTTAAGGTTGTGGATTTAGGGTTTAATATTTAGGGGCGTGGGTTGAGAGTTTAGGGTTTATCGGCTTATGGGTCTAGAAAGGTTTAGGGTCATGGGTGCAGGGTTCAGGGCTAGGGTTTGCCATTTCAGGGTTATGGGTTTCGGGTTCTGGGCTATGGGTTTAGGCTTTGGGTTTGAGACTTCTGGGTTTAGGAATATTATGGGTTCAGGCTTTGGGGTTGGGACTGTGGGTTTAGGATTACGGGTTTCGTGTTCGGGGATTCGGGTTTATGCATGACGGGTTGTTCAAAAGTGTGGTAAACCTCACGCGGCGCTCCAGATCTTGAGCCCTCAAGTACCATGAAACTTCCATAACATGGGAGGTTGCCCAGTCGTGGAGTGGAAAGTAGGGTGGCAATCACGATTATGAGTCACATATGGAGGCTCCGGGAGTTTAGGAGTTTAGGGTTTAGGGGTTTAGAGTTTTAGGGTTCAGGGTTTAGTCTTTCTGGCTTGGGATTGGGGGCTCGGTAGGTAGAGGCATCAAGCCTGCAAGCACACCGGAACCACTGAGCCCAAGCTCCGTTTTGGACGCTCGAGTTTGGGATTTAATTTGTAAGACTGTAAGGGCCTCTATAAACCTTCGGGAATCAGGAATCCTCATTGGCGGGACTGATTGCATGCTGCTGCAACGTCCAGAGGACCACGTAAGTAAAAACACCAGCATCTCACAATGAAGGCTGAACCCTAAACCCTTAAACCCTACCGAGATTAAGCAATGAGGGCTAGAACCTGAAACAAATCGGTACATTTACTTATTTTAAGGTACCTTGGTCTTTTGCTACTCCAGGAAAGCCAGAAGTCCTAAACCCTAAACTCTAGACCATACCACCCACAGCTAGTTTTCAGCACCTTACAGTTGCCCTGGTTCTCAGGTGGGCGACGTTTTCGAAACTTTCGGGGGCACCTCGCCTTTCAACAAGGCCTTGAGGCCCTCAGTGTCCATGTATATGGGTTTACGCGTTAGGTTTTAGGGTTCCGGGTTTAGGTTTTGGGGTACATGTCTCACAATGAAGGCTGAACCCTAAGCCTTAAACCCCACCAAGAGTAAAAAAAAGAGGGGCATAACCTTAAACAAATCGGTACATTTACTTATTTTAAGGTACCTTGGTCTCTTGCTACTCCAGGAAAGCCATAATTCCTAAACCCTAAGCTCAGGACCTTACAGTTGCCCTGGTCCTCAGGTGGGTGACTTTTTTTCGAGGCATGGGGCACCTCGCCTTTTAACAAGGCCTTGAGGCCCTCAGTGTCCATGTATATGGGTTTAGGGTTTAGGGTTCTAGGGGTTTCGGGTTTAGGGTTCAGGGTTTAGGAGTTTAGGGTTTAGGGTTGAGGTTTGGGGGTATATGTTAGTTTGTGATAGTATTCAGGAACGGCAAGGAATCCTATTGCATGGACCCTGAGGGGCCTCAATGTTAGAATGGGGCTGGGTGTATTTTTTACGAACGCCAAGGAAACCTGTTGTTCTTCTTAGGGCTCCTGCATGACCATCATATCGTAGATGCTTTGGCCCTCAAGTCATTTTCTGAGAGCCCGTTTCAGGCCCTGTAGGGAGTGGGAGACCCGACTACAGCATTCTGCGGTTTGGCGGCTTTGGGCACGGCATGCTGGGTGAATCCTCCCTCTGGGTGTTGCTTTGTAGAATCCTTTGCAGGTTGAAAGCCATGGTACCGTACAGCTATATTGGTAACAGTCCCTGATACAGGAAGTACTAGGGCCCTGGTATAAACCCAGCAGCCTACACCCTGAAATCGTCATGGGTCTACTGCAAAAGCTGAGGCGTTGACGCCGTGATGCTGGTGCAGTGGTGTGGCCTGAACCCGATGGCCAGGATCCGCTCCAAGCCCAAATTCCCAAAATCATCCGAGGAGGATTTCCGAGGAGTTGTTTAGGGTTTAGGGATCCAAATCATCCGAGGAGTTGTTTAGGGCTGTAGAAACCCGAATTCCGAAAACTCTGCGCAGGGCATCCCCGAACCCTCACTCTGAACCTTAAGCCCTAAACCCCTACACCCCTATAAACCATAAACGGTTTGCTGTAGGAGCCTTTAATGATTACCTATAATATTTTGGGGAGCCAGCAGAGCTTGGGTGTAGGGTTTGAGCTTCTAGGGTGCAGCGCAGGGTTTAGACTTTAAGGTGTAGGGCTCAGGCTCTGGGGCAAAAGATTCAGGGTTTATAAGATTATAAGGTTTGGGGCTTAAGGTTTCGGGCTCGCTCCACTACGGAGTAAAGCGCCGGCAGCCCTTGCAAGTGATCCCTCCTATGCAGCGAAGCTGCCGCATATTGAACTGCTTCGACACTTGCATTCAAGCCCGGTTTGACATGTAGTGTAACGAGACGTGGACCCTACAATCGCACCCATCAGCCATAAAAAGCACCTTTGCGGTCTGGACCCTGGCGACCCTGGCTTAGAGTAGGCATCCGCACGAAAGCCCGGAATTCGTCACTTGCAGCACTTCCAGAGGAACCCTGTCAGCGCCCGGCAAGACGACTCGAAGTCTTCTTGCTGTCCGCAGCTCCCGGGGCTCGGACGCCTTGCACGGGCCATGTGCATGTATACGTAGTCTGCGAAAGCTTGCAATTGTGAGAGTGGCCACATGGCGGTGTGCTGGCTCTTGTGCGTCGGCGTCTTCTCTTACCTCCTGTCAGCTGAACGCCCGGGGACTCAGCCTCGCGCCTTCTTTTCTGCATCCGCCCGGCCTGCTGCGCCCCTCTTGAAGGCGTTGCCGACAAGCGACTCCTGGACGAGGCCGACAGCTTTCTGACTCGACGCGCGGAGCCAAGTTCCAAGGTCAAGGCCGTCTGCGTTCAAGCTTTCGGGCGCCCCGCTTCCCCCCCACACCCGGCAGCCTGCATCGCAAGTCCTCCTTGATCCACCGGCCCCAGGTCACGGGGCGAGGGAGTTTGAGCAGCGGGAGAAGCAAGCCAAAGCACAGCTTGCTGTTCTCGGAGTGCAGGACTCCTCGAGCGAATCAGTGACCGCTTAATGATACTGCATGTTACCGTGCCGTGCAAGATGACTTTCCTTTGTGGCCTCACCTACAACACTCCGCTGTGCAGGAGACATCAAACGGCACCCGAACGGAAGCCAAGGCACCAAACCCAGTCCTTGTGCACATGCTGAGGGGTTTTCTCCTGAATCCGGTGGACGTGGTGTCACGCGGGGGAGCGCCCTCCGGTGGATAAGGTCGAAGACGAGATTTGAGAGAACTATAACGATTAAAGGTGGATCCCCCGAAGCAAAGATGCCCGAAGATCCGAGGCCTTGAAGCAGCAGAAACTCCAAGTTCGGGTTCGGGGCGCCAAAGGATGTTGAAGGCTTACTATGGTTGCTAGGTTTTACGTAGGGTGCTCAAGGTTCATTGTGTTTTTGGCCTTAGAGGTATACATATAATTTAGGGTTTATTATGGCTTATACGCCTTATACGGTTTAGACCGCCGAAACATCCAGTTCAGGTCGGCCTTCCGAAGTGTTCGGGCGGTATCCTCCAGCTCGACGGAGTCTACGAGGCCTATGCGGTGTGCCTTTTTGCGTTTGGAGTCGGGGTTTAGGGTTTGTTTCGGGTTTATTTGGGTTTCGGGGATTAAAAGGATTTCGGGCGTGAGTATGCCGCTTTGGCCGCATTGCTTTCGCCGCCTGGTCAGAAAATTCTCTCTTGAACGCCCATTGCCGCAAGAGATTGCATTGGGAATGAAGGGGGCAACGGGACTCTGCTAGGAAGGCCCGGTCTGAGAAGATCTGGTTGAAATCGGCGTGGCACTTCCTGGGCGCGGAGCACTGTAGTTCGACCATGTTCGACATCTACCCCAAAAATCACACCCTAACGTAGGACTCCGCCATGCAGGTGAAGAAGCAGGAGGAGGTCCTCGTGGAGGGGCCTTCGTGCCGAGTGACGGGGAGTGGGAGCCTGAGACCTGGGAGGTGAGGCAGGAGTCGAGAAGCTGTTGGCCGCCCCGTTGTCGAGGTGCCGAGCTGCTCCTTTGGGCTCCCGTGCGCTTCCAGGGCAACCTGGTCCTCGCAGGGCAGCTGAAGGTAAAGGCTGCTGGCGACGGCGGCAGGGTCAACGCCTCGTGCATCGCCGTCAACGGCAACTTTGCATTGCACCCAGAAGCTCGCCTTAGCATTGAAGGCTGCAATAACGTGGCTGACAAGGGTGATGCAGGCAAAAAAGGAGGCTGCCTGCACGTCGGCCGTGATGCCGAACTTTTGGGCGGCCAGTTGCTTCTGCGGGAATGCACTGCACAAAAAGGGGGAGGCGGCATCTACGTCGCAGGCCGGACCGACATTTGCTGCTTTGACCTAGAAAAACGCCATCTTCGAACGCTTGCGCGTGAAAAGCTCTGAGACACACTTCTGCTGCTTAATGCCAAGCGGACCGTTTCTGTGCAGCTGTGACTGTTGCAGGCACGCTGCACAGTCTGAATGCGACGATCGATGCAGAAAGATGCGATGCAGATCATGGAGGTCGGGAGGGACAGCCCAAATAATTCGGCAGTTTGTAAGGTTTCCAAACTCGAGAGTGGGGGTCCGAATAGAAAGATGGCAGCAGGCCCAGGCCGGCCCGGCCCCGCCAGGTTGAGGGTTTCCAGCCTTAAGGTGGCGGTGGGGTTTGCCCACACAACTCGCAAGTTTGCTGGCAAGTTTGTTCGGTCTCACACTCACGTCTCCGGAAGTCCCGCTTTCGGCTTCAGGTTTAGGGTTTCCGGTTTAGGGCTTAGGCAGCTGCTTCGGATACGGGCATAGGTATAAGCAGCGGTTGAGTGAAGCTGCCACACGCGCGTGCAGGTGCCATCCGTGCTGAGAACGTGAGCGTCTCCGGTGGCAATGTCACCATCACGGAGTCTACGGCTGCAGACAATGGAGGCAGCGGGGGAGGGTCGCTTTCTTGGTCCTACAGGACAGGAGGACGAGGGATGCCCCCCCCAAGAAGTGGAGCGTCATGGGCTCTGCAGCTTGGGGCGGAGGGTTTTTTCGGGTGCAAGGCTTGAGAGGTTTGCAGGCAGATGCTGCCCCTGCAGTAACGCAGCAAGTCATATGTTTCAAAACCAATGTTTGTCTGGGCTTCCCGCTAGTGCATTTTTTTGCCCGAGCCAACTTAGCTACAGCATCGTAATTGAGAAAGGCTAAATTGGCAGAAGGCAGGCCTTGGCAGAAATGTTAGTGTCGAGGGCTGATTCTGGGCTGAGTGCAAAGAGCGGTGCCTCCTTGCTGGCCGAGGGCTGATTCTGGGTTCAAGGAATAAGGCCAGCTTGCATATCAAGGTCGTCAGCTTGCGTATCTTCACCGGCCTTCTCGCTTGGACAGCCGACAGCATGAGATCATGCCGGTAGCATGAGAGATCTGGTCGATGCTTCAAGCCTGGACCCGATTCCCTTGCAACTGCCTTTTGTTTCGCGTAGAATGCTGGTGCGGGGTTAAAGCTATCAATCAGTACGCTCGCAAGTTCTGGTCGTGAAAGCTTTTGTAGAAGCTCTCAGCTGCTGGTGCTTCTTCAGTTTGACATTTGTGTTCGCTAATGCTGCTCTGAGAGAATTCATCCTTCCAGGAAACCTGCGGTTCCGCCGAGTTGGCGGGTGTTGATCTCCACAGAGCTGTAGCAGTGATTTGTCAAAATGTATGGCTGCAGAATTAAGCATCAGTTGTTCATACCTCATAGTCTTGTGGGATCTCGATTCGCACAAGAATCGCCTTAGAGTTGGCGGTGGGGTTTGCCCACACAACTCGCTTGAGCGACGCTGCCACACGTGTGCAGGCGCCATCCAAGCAAGGAACATGGACGTGTCCGGTGGCAGCATAACCATCAGGGAGTCTACGTCTGGTGATGGAGGCAGTGGGGGGAGTGGGTCGCTTTCTTGGTCCTACAGGACAGGAGGACGAGGGATGCCCCCCCAAGAAGTGGAGCGTCATGGGCTCTGCAGTTTGGGGCGGAGGGTTTTTCGGGTGCAAGGCTTGAGAGGTTTGCAGGCAGATGCTGCCCCTGCTGTAACGCAGCAAGTCATATGTTTCAAAACCAATGTTTGTCTGGGCTTCCCGCTAGTCTTAGCCATTAAGCAGCACCACCCTGGTCCCACATGAAAGTCATGCGAACCTCGAGGCTTTGACCCTTAAGGCAACGGGAGGGGCTTGATGGGAGAGCGTTTGCATGAACAGATGGCTGCCCGCCTTCTCGCGCGTACGTATTTTCGCACTTTCGTTGACTTGCTGAAACTTTGATTGTCATTAATGCTTGTTTATGGGATCGACGAACAGCAGGTGGGTTTTAGCTGTTTTTTGCCGCATCATTCCTGGAAACCCTGAGGGTCTAGATATGACCCCACGGCGGGCCTCAGCACCAACTTAACAAAATGAGCCCAGAATCAGGCGACAGCCTGACCAAGGAAGAATGGAATGCCGCTTTTGGGCATCAAACGCCAAAAAGGGGAGAGTGATGGGGTGTATATATCCCCTGACACTGCTATGCGTGTCCAAGCAGACGTCACCCTCCTCAGCTTCCACGAAGAGCTGGCCACCAGAAAAGACCGAAAGGGGGATCAAGCCATTCGGCACGTCCTGGTGATTGTGAGGGTCCGAGTGAAGTCCCATGGCACGGTTTCTGGCAAGGAANNCACCGTTGAGTGGCTGTGCACCCCGCTCAGCGTGTAAATCACTGCGTTCAGTAGGCGGCTGACCATGGGGTATCTCCTCGTCTGGGCCCGAAGACCAACCAGCGGACCTTGTGAGTAGGCTCCAAAGAAAATGCTTTTGTAGTCCGGCGGCTGAACGATACTGGGAGAGGAGTGCCTCGAGTCCTGCATGGATGGGAGACCATCTAGCAGCCGACCAAAGACTTCGAAGGGGGCCCACTTGGAATGCAGGCAGCTCGTGGCCAGATTCTCTGTGGGGCAGTGGGTGAAGGGGTTGTCAGTGAGCTTGATGCCGGCCCCCTTCGGGTTGGCATAGAGTTGCAGCGCCGTGGCTACAGATTCCTGTCGTTGTTTGTCCAGCTCAGACAAAGGCCGACTCATGTTAGCCGAGCTGGGACCCGGCGCTTCCTTGCGTCTGCGCTTGTTAGACCAAGTCTCCGCGGTTGGTGCTGCAGGCCAAGCCACCGTTGGAGTAGGATGGTCCAGATCGATGACCTCTCTGCTTGAAGAGCCCGGCCGAAGTTGCCACATGTCGTGCGAAGCAGCAAAAGCTAGTTCTGAGATACCGAGAGAAAAGGCTGCGTAGCGCGTGGCAAAGGGTTGTGGTGGGGCCTGGCAGCGGGGATGCAAGCACGGGCCTGTTTTGTGGCCGCCGGTGGCGTTGCTGGGCCGGTGTATGCATTAATGTCAGCTCTACGAGCCAACGTAAGAGAGCAGACGAACTCTGGAGAAGCAGACCCTTGCTAGCTAACGGCCCTAACCGTCCTGCGCCATGTAGCGGTCCTCGGCCTCTGTCGCCGTGTCCGGTGCTGTGGAGGAAGATTGATTGCGAGCGACCGCGATGAGCTCCTCGGAGACCTCCCGCAAAATGTCCGAAGTGACCCTAAGGGATTGTGCCAGAGAGCTATGAGTTTGTAGAGGCATCGACTGCTCCATATCCTGGGCAAAGCTGATTGCCGCACTGAGGCTGGACGCAGCATTGCGAATGGCACTCTGCACCGGAGACGAGAAGGTAGCCTGCGTCCCAGGTGGAATTGGTCCCTGACTGGGAAGTGTACCTATGTCAGGAATCCCTGTAGCAAAAGCCTCCTGTCCGGCTCCCCAAATGCCCGGAAGCCGGCCGTCATTGGCTGTGGCCGGAGCGGACGGCGCCGATTGCATTGTTGAATGGGCCAAGCCCCCGTCCCGAGAGTGATCGTTAGTCCAAGACTCCGGGGCGTCAGAGCAGGCAGGGGGAGGAGGAGGGGGATTCGACGGCACGAGGTAACCGTCCTGGTTGGAGTAGGCCTGCCAGGGGAAGATCTCCTGGTAAATAGTTCGAGCAAAGCGGCCACAGGTTCGCAACTGGCACTTCAGAAAGAATCTCGCCGAAATAGCCGACTTCTCCCAGCTGCCCGTGCCCTGCGTCCCTTCACTGGCCTCGCCTTCTGGCACCAGGGTGCCATTGGAGTTGCCGAACTTGGAAGCCGGTGAGGTGAAGGTCGCCGTGTCATATTTGACCTCCCCGTTCGCCTTCCAAAGCGAAGCATGCAGAGTGATAGTTGGGGAGATCGCTGAGTCCTGCCAAGATCCCGGGGGGAACGGAGTCGTTGGGCCAGGCGGGCGAGGCCATTGGTCTCTGGCCAACCATGTGCGAAGCTCCTTGTCCAGGTGTGAGGGCAGGGATGAATCCTTGTCCGAGTGCTTCCGCTTAGATGTCTCCGGGCCGATGTAGAGCTGCTTGAGGATAGTGCGAGCCAGACGGTAGTAGTCGCCGTGCGCGGTCCTCACTGGCTCCGGGG